AGACAGTCGTGCTGATGACCTTGCTGTCCGAGGAGTCCCTTCGGCGGCTGCCACGGCTTCAGCCGGGATGCTCCCAGCCACGTCCTCCTCGACTCCTGTCGGTCTCCAGCCTTCGCTGCATCGCTGCGCCACTCGGCTGTGTGGTTTGCAGAGACTGAAGCTCTGGTTGCGGCTGACCGCAGGTGGAGGACTGGCGCGGCGGGGGGGGGGGGTCGCCGCCAGGGGGCCGCCGCCCTCGCCAGCCTCGTCTTCCGAAGCATCGTTCTGTATTCTGTGCCAATTAATAGTTACGGGGAGGCAAGTCGAGGTGTAGTTGATGTAGCTCTTAGTTCATGTATGTAAGCAGCAGAGCTGTGTGCCAGCCATTAAGCTCTAAAACATATCGGGTATTTTTCATTATCTTTCAGAATTTTCTTCCCGAGGAAGCAAAACAAATCTTATGACACCAAAGAGAACCATTTAACAACAGACGCCTTAAGGACCATCTGGCTGGAAAGGCCATTCGAAGGGCCTCCTTGAAAGAGGCCTTGCAGTCCAGCTCAGCTTCCTTTAACCTCAGGATTTTTTCCGATTTTTTGAGCTCGAGAAGTGCCTTTTACGCTCGCCCTCTCTGGCCCACAAACCCCCGTCGGCCGAATTCCAAGGCAGGTGATCGGTGGCGTCGAAACAAAAAGATGGAAATGGCGATATGCCGACAGGCGGTTTCTGTCTGCCATTATCACTGATTGCGCTGCGGTCAGAATTTGCCAGTTTTCGAACGAGAAAAAAGGAAAATGACTTCTTCCTTACATAAGGATATAAAGAATCTGCTTAGAGAATCACAAACTGACATTTTCTGATTGTAAGGAAGCCTAAATTTTGTTGCTATTAATAGTAGCCGGAAAATGCACAAAAAATGTGTTTATAGTTCGAGAAAATTTAAGAATATATTTTGCACTATTTTTCTCAATACTCAGTTATCTTCGTACTTCATACTTGAATATCATGTATTTCCTGTAATCAACAATGTATTCTGACAGTTTTACAATATTTTGATTGCTTCGTTTTTTTCTCCTTTTTGTGTAATGACAAAATGCAAACAATGGCCTTCTGTTCATAGATATATTAGCAAGAACCCAGAGTACATATCTCTTTCCTCGCGCTTTCTGCTTCTAACAGGGCGTAAATCATCGTGACGTTCATGTCAGATGCCGCCCGCGGTAAAGGAATCCCTTTGATGCAACCATTGTTTTTTATGTACTCAGCTAACATTAAGAATAACTTGAAAAAATCTGTAATGTGCCTCTGTGTATTTTTATTATTGAATATTGGCTACTCAGGCCAAATGATAAAACGCTGACAATATAATAGTATACTGCCGCATTTACATAACAGTAGGGCTTCCAAAGAATCGCCATTTTCCTTGGATTTCCGGGGCCCCCACAGTGAAGCCTGGTTGGTAGGGCCACCGAGGTAAAGAAGAATGTGGAGAAAAACGCTAGATTTTGAATTTATTTCGATATGCACCGGTTTGCATCGGAAAGAGACAACTGCGTTACCCTTTAATAGAAGACTGCGTTCGTTATACACTCTTTTATCTAATTGTTTAGATTCATTGACGAATTTAACTTTGTGTGATTGTTCTAATTCTAGCGATGTAATTCTATGCCTTTTATCGGACGGATTTTTGGCCTCGAACATATTTTTGGCCCAGTGTGCAAATATTTCAACACACACGCACGCACGCGCACACACACACACACACACACACACACACACACACACACACACACACACACACATGTATACTTCTGTGTCTAAACAGCTTTGTTCTCCCTTTCAGTCGGGCCGCCGTACACGTTCCGGTTCAAAGTCAAGTTCTATTCGTCCGAGCCGAACTTGCTGCGGGAGGAGCTGACGCGGTGAGTACCTGGGGGGCCGGAGGGCGCCGGCGGCCGACCCCTCGCTCTCTGGTGCTACCCAAGGGGTTTTATACGAACATTAATAGCCTGAACTTGGAATTCTCCCCCCCCCCTTCTTAGATAGATGGTCCGGGACCCTTTTTCCGAGACTGGGATTGGGCGAGACCTAGGGTCGGTGATTTGTAAGAAGCTTCAAGAAAATAATTATAAAATAAGATGGTCATATGTACCTTTGACAGTGCAGTCGTGGAAACCTGGATGTTCCACGCCGATTAAAAGGTCTCAGGTGATCTAACCCGGAACCAGGGGAGTTATTTTTGTCATCATTTTACGAAAAGAACGATGTCTGTGATGTTCAGAATCCAATTACAAGCATTTGATTTCTTGACCCCTTTACCGTTGCGTTTTTGTCGCTCTGAGGTTGGCCAAGATTTTCTTCCAACTCGCAGGGAGGGAGAGACGCTCACCAAATAATAGATGAAAAACTATTGTTCTTATTTTGTTTTAAGAGCAGCCCTTCTTAGCAAGTATTGTTATATATTGATATATGTGTATACACACATTTATATACCAATGTGTATACACACACACACACACAT